GAAATTGAATTGTGGAATAGTATATGGTTTGTTATGTTTACAAAAGAAATGATATGCAATGGTTTTAGTATGGACATAGTTATCTGAATAAAATTTAAATCTAGGATATGATGAAAAATATTACTAGAAATTGTAAAAGTAGTTGTTTATAATGAGAATTTTTATCTGTACAAAGATGATGACCATGTATAAAATACTAAACTTATAATTGGCGCCCATTTAATTTCCTTGTGATAAATATTTCTGAGAACACAATGATTTTTCTTTCACTTTTTTATATAGAATGTAGTAAAAAGATATGAGCAGCCTTGTGGAGAAAGGACAGAATGAGTTCTTTTATTAAAGTTTATTTTGTTGCTTCCTTTACAATATTGATAAAAATGCATCCCAAGAAATTATGCTGTTTAATTTCATAGCAGAAATGAACGTTTCAAGCGAAAAAAAAAATCTGAAGTGCTAATTTAGAGATAATGGTTATCTGTGCTTGACACCATTTGTATGCAAGGCACAAGCACAGTAGTTATGTCTTAGTAGCTAGGGCCCTTTGTTTACTATAGGTGGGAAGAAATGTGTTTGGGGGCAAGGAGGCAAGATTTATTACCTCTGTGATCCTTACCTGTGTTTACCTGCTGTCTAGACAGTCCTGAATTTACAATGGCCTAATTAAGAGTTGACATGATCAGGAGAGATGAGGGGAAAGAAGAGGGGGGCATTCAGGCTAGACGTTTCATGAAATTCAGCATTACAGTATTAATTTTTCACTCTGCAATTTTATTAATGGTACCGAATTAATGATCGTCTCAGAGAGATATGACATGATCGTAAGAATTGTAGTGATAAAGGAAAAGAACTGAAATGTCAATTATTTATCACACATGCATGTTTACATACATATTTTTTGTATTATTATTAAAATAATTATTAATAATATTATAATTGCAGCAGTGCAAATTGTCATAAGAGTCCTGATGAACTATGTCTACTGACAGATTTTCATGATTAGGAGATATGGTGGGAGATATATGGGAGAGATAAAGCTGGATCAGCCATTGTGGTGAAGTTCTGTTCCGTTTTCCTGACCACTTTCATGCATGAGCCTTGGGTTTAGTTGTGGATTTAAAATGCTTTGAAGGGAAAACATTAGGTATGGGATAGGTGAATGGCCAGGTAATTTTACCTTAGAAAGAAGGGTAATTGTTGTGGTATTTAGACTCATAAGTGCATTGTAAGTTGCATCACGCACTTGGGCCTATTTCCTTGTAGCAGCTGATTTCTTTCACACATCCAAATATTTTGTTAATCCTCAACAACTAAACATGGTACTGTTCTTGCGAGCAAGAGAGCATATATCTTACTCTTAGCAACTGAATGATTGAATGATTATCGTGAGGTCTAGAATTTGTACAAGTCGCACACCCTAACCTTTTAGTGAGCTATTTGTCAGAGGTTGTGAAATATTAGCTGCATTTACACATATTTCAGATGTAGACTTGAGTATCTGAGCAATCTCATGCCTGGTAAAGGGCTACCACATAAGGGCAGGCTAGTATAACCTCGGCACATTCTAGACACCCCAGTTTTAACCCACAATTGCTACTTGGCGACCAGCCAGTTACCAGGGGCAGGGAAGTCAAATATATGCTAACCTCCTTCACAGCTGCAAATGTTTTTTTTTTTCTTTTTCTTTTCTTCTTCTTCTTCTCAGCAAGATGCATGTTTTGTGTTGGTCATGTTTCATGTGAGAAAATTGATTGTGGTGTATAAAAGTGATGAAAGGGATCAAATGATTTTGATGAAATATATTGAGAGATTTACCATTTTTAAAGCCTTATGGTTTCTACAATCATTCACCGGGATGAAGTCAAACCTGGATATATGCTTCTGTTGCATTTGGTCAGCGTTGAAGAAAAATAATAAACCACATGTCACAACTCTAGTCATGCTCTGCTTCAAAAACTGTTGGAAGATATTCAAAAATTCAGAGCCAGTTTTACTATGAGAAACCTTTCAGCCGCCAGTTGTTTGAATCCTATAAATTCAGCAGGACAAACCCTTAAAATTCAGACGAGACTGAAAAGTGAGTCACCTAATTCGCAATTTTCCCCATTGTGTACATGGAGGTATCACGAAAAGGCAGTACAGGTTGTCATGTTTGATGACATTCTCCACCATATTGGTGGAACATTTTAAATCTGTATAATACGTGTGTCATTGTCATTTAAAGTCAGGGCTTGTCAGCATTTTTTTCTTCTTTTTTATGATGGAGAGAGCAACAATGAAAACAGACATTCTGTTTCTTGTAAAACCAGAAGTTTGAACCTATATTGAATCATAATGGTGTGCCTCTTTTTTAAAACCTTTACAAAGAAAAGCTACTGCTATTTAAAAATGATCTGTCATCTTCTAAATCTCTCATAATCAAATGAAAAAGATTTATAAAATGATTATGATGGAGGTAGAAACTGAACCAACTTTGTGTTGTTGTGAAATAAATAAAGGTCATGTTAAAATAGAACAAATTAACATATATATTGTTTTAATTTTCCAAAGGATGAAAATTACTTTTTCTTCTCTTACTTAAATGATAAAGTGACAAAATTATTGAAGTGCCTGATGGTCTGTCATATGAAAACTAACTACTTAAAGATATTAAGACATGCTATGTCTAAGTATGGATATCTTGAGTTGAATGTTGTGTATTTTGCTATCAAACATTAAATAAGATAAGGGCAATTTGACAGTTTAAAGACAAATTTTCTGTGAACCTGATATTGAGTTAATTGTTTTTCATTTTGATCAAAAATCTTAAGTACAACCTTAAGTTCTGTAATCCAAAAACTAAAAAGTAGGGTAATTATTGTTCTAATGAGTAAAAGTAAGTCTCTATATGGTTCTGCATGCTATGAGGCCATGCCTGCCACAAAATGGGTGCTTATCACAGATGTTTTATAAAGCACATGTCAACCGGTGCAGGTAAATTACTGAAGACAGTACAGGGGTCTAGGCTGATTTGATAAAACTGTTAAACTTAAGAAATATTTAAGTAAAACAGTGATGATTGCTAAGTATTTCAAAATGAAGCTTTGATTTAGATATTGTAAAATTCTGGACGAATTTTTTTTTTAATTCATTTAGGTGGATTATTTTTATGGATGCATGAAATTGTTTGTAGAAGAGGGTATGTCCTTGGTTTTGTGTCATAGCTTTGCTTACAGGGCCAGCATATTTGCACGCAGAGGCACACACATGCACACTCACTATTCCATTTCAGTGTTCCTACGCGGAGACAAATAGTTCTGTGTGGAGCTTCTTGGTGGTCGTTGTTAGTGATATGATACATTTTTTGCTTAGAAGAAAAAATATGTTGGATATTTAGAGCTTGGGATTTGAAGTAATTAATAAAACATTGCTTTAACGTGTTAACATATGTAAGTGCCTATGCACCGGGTAACATTTGGCGCCTGCATTATTATCTTGTGACCTTTAGCCATTACGTCATGTTGCAGCCAGATTACGCACTAAAAAAGTTTTCAACAACTGTAGAAAATAGTTCCATATTTTGAAAAAGAAAAAAGAAAATAAATTTTATTTTGTTTGTTTATATTTTATAGGCAAAATTATATTTTTTCAGAAGATAAATTGATATATAATTTGAATCTTTGTATTTTTGACTGAACTAAAGTTGTACCAAATTTTGATATTTTATCACTCTCTCTCTATCTCTCATCATGCCTCTTTCCTCTCTTTCTTTTCTCTTACCTTCTCTCCATCTGCCCTTCATACACCTCAAAATCTGGCAAGAAACAGCATTTTGGTACAAACTGGCCTTTCGTGGCAGTCTCTGACCACTGGGGTCAGCTTCTGACCACAAAGGTGAGGACTTGTAATTTATCTAACATGTCTTGGGTTTCTCACCTTGTAAAAAGTCAATTACCAGGACATTCCCCACCAGCTGTGCATTGTATTTCTCAGGAAGTATTAGGTGAAGGTATATTTTTTATATCTGTCTAGTGTAGGTAATGAAGAAAGGTAAACTTTCTCCCTTTTACATGTCTTTATAACTTCCTTTTATTAATGAGGAAGTATCAGTAGAAATACCATTTGTAAATGGCTGTTCATATGCTACATTAAAGAAATTTTCAAATTACTTTTTTCCTCCAGGAATTATTTGGAAAAGGGTTAATGATTTAGTATAACTGACTCGAGACAAAGTTTTCAAACTTAACTTTTTAAGACGTATTAGGTGATATTGTTGAGAAAGAATATGCTCAACACAAACTTCATTGTTTATACCAAGAATACTGCTTACTCAGTATAAACTCTATTTTAAATTTCGGGTTTAAAACCAAAAATGTATTTTCATATTTACATTGTGCCTATTTCATGAGTGAAAGTTTTCAGGAGTATGCCTGATTTCAAGATGGTGTAAATGCAATGAGAATTTAAATTGAAAGCTTAGTTTTCAGGATTTTCAGTTTACAACTTTTACCCATGTCTTTTTAGAAAAAATCAACTTTGAGATAAAGGACTATGTACCTTTTGATTGGGGGGAACCCTAAAATTTTCCTTTTTTACTCAAAGGGTTCTGGTTGCATTTGGGGTGCCAGCAACAGTGATTCCTCATATTTCATTTAACCTTGTGACCAACATAAGCTGTCACAGTTTTTTAGATGAGAAATAAATAAGGAGAAAAATGTTAACTTCTACACTGGTGTTTTTGTTTCACCTGTGACTAGCATTCCTGAAAATCATCTTCGTTTTATTTTTTTTTATTTTTTTTTTTCAAACAACAGCAGAAAACTGTTACATTTACTCACTAATCAAAAATAAGATAAAGGCAAAAGTTTTGACTTTTGAAAAAATTAAAAGATATATTTGGTGGTCTTGTTCCTTAAGATTTACTGAAAAATATGAAATTTGCTGCATTTCTGGCCACTCAGAACAATGTTTATGACATGATATGAAATTAAATACTGATGTTTTCTCTCTCTCTTGGTCAGCTGGTGGGTATGTATACAGTTGGGGAGCAGGGACTGATGGTCAACTGGGTCATGGTAAAGGGGTCACATTCCTAGACATCCCTAAGAGGCTCCAAGAACCAGTGTTACAGGCCTGTGTGGTCCACATAGCTGCCTCTGAGGTCTACAGTGCTGCTGTCACAGGTAGGTATCTTTTTCAGTTCTTATTATATTTATTCATATACCAGATGATAAGCAATGGAGTATATGCCTGTTACTTAAGTCTACAATTTTTCTTATCTTGTTTTCTATAAACATGTGTTTCGTTATCTTATTGAAAGTTTGTAAAACAACTGTGTAATTTGCAGTTATAATTTAGTTTCCTATGAGGAGGGTGGATTTAGCTTTAATACATACCTAAATTGTTGTTTAAAACATGGTTTGGTAACTCTAATGGCATTCTGCTGGTCATTGCATGTTTGAACTTCTATAATCTCTTGTTTGGCAGGTGAGATACTTGAACTGTCCAAGTTTATTAAACTTAAATATTTTTCCCTGATAACAAGCTACTTTCTTCCAAGACTAAGCCTTTGCCAAACACAATTCCCTGGACTAGAGACAGTATGGCAAGCTTAAATAGAGAAATTAAGTTGACACAACAGCAGATTGACCAATCTTGGGGAACTGTTAGAGAGTTAACGTGTCATTGTGGAAGCAAAGATAAGAGGTAAAATGTGCTACAATAATCCAATTCGGGGGTAATACCAGCGTTTGCCTACCCTTAATCATTGCCACAGACTTTTTCACACACCCCTGGACAGGATTAGCAATATTTAAAATGAAAGTTTATCTAATTTGTTATCTGTTGCTTTAGGTGATGGATCCCTCTTCATGTGGGGTAAGAACAACCACACGATAACTTGTGATGAGCACCCAGCCATGCGTTTTTTCCAGCCGACACACGTAGACCCAGGGGGGCAGAGTATTAGCCAGGTGGAACTTGGAGCCTGGCATGCAGTAGCCATGACAGGAACACCAGGTAAAAGGAATTATAAAATAATGAAAAACAGCATTACTGTCAAACCAGTACAGATAGATTACGAATTGCTGAAATACAGTGCAGTTGTATATGTGATGGCAATGTGCTAGTTTTTATTTGATGTATACATCTATATGGGATTCAGATGAAATATTTTTAATACATATTATGATTACATGTTTATAAATGTTGTCATTGCCACTACTGAACAAGTCTGTATAAATGCCAAACCATATTTCTGTTTTACTTAAAATTTACTGATGCTTTGTTTGGTAAGAAAAATGGTTCCTTTCAACTTGTACTAAAGTTATTGATTTTTTGTTTTTGTAGAAATCAACATGATCAAATTATTTTTACAAAAGAATTTTTTTTCAACTATTTTGGCCATGTTTGCACCATAAGTGTCAAACCATATTGTTATTTTACTTCAAAACTTTTTAGATTGGCTTTGTATTTTAGGAAACAGGTCCCTTTTGAAAATCTCCACAGTTGGATTATTTAAGTTTTGCATGTATTTTGGTGGCACTTGCCCCATAGGTGCTAAACCATATTGTTGTTTTACTTCAATTTTGCAGAGTGGTTTTATATGTTAATGGGGCAGGTTCCTTTTCAAATCAGCATTATCAGAGAATTTTTTCCAAAAGTTTTTTTTTTTTTTTTTTTTGGTAAATATTGTTGCCATGTTTTTTGCTGTTTTGTGTCTAAATATTTGTCAGCTTTTCCATTTAGTATTTTGACATGTTTTTGTATTAAGGGGTCAGGCATTTATTATTATTATAACTATTATAAAATCAGGTTATCAATATGAAATTCATTGAAATTTTATTTATTTTTGACCCTGTCATTCTCTTTCTAATAAAACAGTTCCTGTACAATGTTTTGAAAAAAGGGTTCAGGCTAAAATACTATAACTTAAAAATTTAAAAAGTACCCTTATCTCTTTTGCTGAACTTTTTGTTTTTCAAAGCCAAAAATTTTTTTTTTTTCTTTTTTTACCATACCACATGTGGTTGAACCTCGGATATGCGAGGAAGTAATTTGAACTTGTTTAAATGAAAACTAGAAGGTCCCTACCACCACAGCCTTATTCATGGAGGTCAAGAAGGGCCACACACTTTGTGTTGTGAGGGTTGACCTTGAGACCCAGACAGTTTTAGGCGGTGTAAAGGTGCTAGCCTCAACAAATGATACGGATCACTGGGAATCTGGCTATCATATATGTCCCTGTTGTATGAAGAGGGATATAAGGGAGTTGTACAAAGGATTAGTCTTTGTTATGCAAGTTCAGCTGGGTGTTCATGGAGTATTTAAGATATTGAGCCAGTTCTGTTTTTGGTTGTTGTGAAATGCACTGTGAGCTAAACTGATGTGGACTGCTTTTCACCTCAAAAAGTTTGCATTGTCCAACAACATTTTTTCAGATATTATTGTTCCATTTCTGAATTTGAAAATATGACATGTAAATAATTGGAGAAAAATTATTCTTGTAAAGTGATGAAAAAAATGTGTAACAACAGTATCACACTTTTTTCTCTCTGTCAACTTGACAATACCTTATACCTATTCAAATTCTTCTTTCTTCTGCACTGCCCCGGGCTAGATTAAAAAAATTTGCATATGTCACTGAAATATGCACTATAGATAAGCTGAAGCTAGAAGACAGAGGGAGGGGGTCACATCCTCTATATCCACTCTTACATTGTGAATAACTTGTATGACTTGTTTGATGATGCCACGCATATCAGACAACAGAATTTAAGGAGAGCAGTGCCTTTTTATCTATTATTCTTGTATCATTGATTACCCTTTGAACATTGTTTTTGATCTAACGAAAGATTATTAGCTAACAATACATCCTCAACAACTGTGTACCTAGAATTAAGCTGAAATATGTTTGTTATTCAGATAAGATAGCATTCTTTAGAGACTTACACCTAAAAGTTCCTTGGTTTACCTTGATAGAATTACCTCATCTTTGGGTTTGAGGCATTTACAAGTGTAGTAGTGTACCTTGACAGTATATGAAGTTATAATAACACTTACTGGAGTCCAGGAGGAGCATTAGCTGCCCCGGGATCACATTGAGTGCCCATAATACCAGGAGATAGAACACATCTAACTGTGTAATGTCTCTCATTTAGTCTCCTCAGTGCAGGTGCTGGGGAGCAGTTACAACATGTAATGATACAGCTACAGCATACAGCCGAGCTAGCTTTAAGGATGCTCTTGATAGCCTCTTATCTATAGGCCATCAGGGTGATGCATCATAAAAAATGGTACAATTTGGAAATGAGAATTTTTCTATAATACTGACATTTGGCCTGGTGATACGGGTGTCAAGGGTGGAATGAACAATTTGACCCCGACCCTAGATGTCATAAGTTTGCCACTCTGCAATTGTTGCAGGTCAAAATGGCATGACGTCCTGAGGTGTGGGTCTGCCTGATATGTCTATATTGTATCTGCTTTTTCTGTATGGTTTGTGTAATTACTGAGCTAGAACTTCATTCACCTGCTCTTTAATTGGATTAAGAGTCTTTTATCAGCTCCGGCAATACAGTGCTGACTGAAAAGAGAGGAGATAGTTATAGCCATCCATAACAATAACCTTTGACAGGTGAAAAAATGTTCCAGTGCCAAAATGAAAAATCACGGACCCTTGGGTCCAAGATAGTCATCGGGTTTCAGTATTGGCTACATCTTTTACTAGACGCTGGCTATTCAACAGTCGCCTGAGACCTAGGGGCTGCTGGTTTCCTTTTTTTGTAAGTGCTTCCCGTAATGAGAAATTTGAGTTTTGAAATGAATGCGAGGCAAACAAAACCTGCTTTGTTGGCGTATACATCTGGGAGTTTGCACAATAAAAGACACTTCTAGATGTAGTAAGCAGATATAATTGAAAAACCTTTTCAGTGTTAAGGTGACAAAGATATTTCCTGGGTGCAAATTAAAAGATTGCTGAGAAAGAATGAGTTTATTAAAAAAAATCATTGCAGAAATAGTAGCATTTCTCATTGATAAGGCAGTTGGTGGCTGTAGGGGGCCGGTCAGTTTGACCTTCAAAAGTAGATAATAAGTTTTATTAAATAAATGTCTCACAGGTATGCAAAAAAGAAATAAGATCAAGTGAACAGGTGCATCTTCTGAATTTACATCCTTTTTTATAACATTAAGTTAGGTCAAAAATAGTCTTTGGAGATGGTGGTACAGTTGTTTTAACTTCATTTATGAGAGTAGAGAATTGAAGACTTTTCACCAAGAACAATGGAAAATTCATAATATTGATAAGGATTTGTTTTTTTCCCTTAGTATTACTTAACATTCTTTTAGGACATGGAGCCTTGGGGGTCCCTTCTGTTCATATTTATATTTTTCTTTTAGATAAAATACATATGGTAAATCATAAATTCGTCTAGTGAACAAATATAACTTTCACCCCTTTTAGGCCCAATGTTTCTTAGTACATTATTAAGGAAAAGCCATTTAAAACCCCATTATTCCATGTGAAAGAGTAGAGGAAGACCTATCCCATTTTGGTTATTTGTTGAGGGATGTTAAACCTACTTGACTATACAGCATTTACCCATTACGGCACAGTGTATAGTTGAGAGCATTTGCACAGGCAGGTTATCATAATTTACTGCAATATCACATTTATGTTTAAAAGCAACCTGATTTCTTGTTCATTTTCATCCTGATATTTACACTGGCTAATTCATCAACTCCAAGTGAACTATAACATAACAAGAGTGTTGGTTTTTCCCCATTAGAATCAGCTCTCCTGAAAATCAATGCCTGTCAATGCCTTCCATTCAGCCAGTGAGCATTGATTGTATTTGAGAAATTGTTTTCTTTCGGACCTTTGGTGAACCTTAAAGCCCAAACGTGAAACACGAGGAACAATACAATATTGAATCTGTAACCCCCTAGACGTTAGGTGGCTGTGATATGTTGGCTCTACCTCTGTGGTGACACACTGGACATGGGATCTGAATTTTCCAACCTCGTGGAAGATGAGATGCGCCGTGACACAACTTAATGTGTGTCATATTCCACAATAAGGTAGAATAGTTTAAGGCGGGTCGATGTGACTTTCTATTGTTGTTGTTGTTGTTATTGTTGTTGTCTGCGGTATGCTTAGTAGACTGTGCTAACAGGTTAGGTAACTACCCTGTAAACAGGTGGACTTATTTGTTGTTGGGTGTAGTTCTGTACGAGACCCTTCAGTGAAAGTTAAACAAAGGGTTGCTGGTTAATGGAGTCTGAGATTTGATAGAATATTTAAAGTTAATATTACATGTTTGAATAATGTCATGTTAATCAATATGCATTTAATATGAAAATATGAAGAGGTTATGAGCACTTTCCTTCTAACTAATGGGTGGTCATTGATTTGAACTTATGAAATGGTATTTTACATGGTATTTTAGTCGAAATACTACTATGAATGGTTCTGGGATAGGGATAAGATTTTTCCAGCTATCAGTAGATTTCTGACTGAGTCAAAAATATTATTGGCCTAGGCAGTCCCCTGGACCCCATGTCGTATTTTCTGACTTTGGCAGTCTCATCCCTGAAGTATGGCTTGCTGTGGCAATTCCTCAGAAAGAGAGTTTTAGTTTTTCAGGTTTGTGAAAATAAGTGATTTGCTCAATTATGTAACAGTTATCCTTGCTCTGACATCTGATCAGACCGAGTTCCTATTGACATTATCTAAGAATATTGGCACATTTAACTGCTCTGACCTCATCTTACTAGGAAAACCATTAGCAATGTTTTCTTTCACAATAACGGCACATCACGGTTACTTCATATGATCAGTGGAGTTTTGCCTGAAGTTAGGTCGACATAATCCCAGGTCTAATCATCCATATGTTCTAAGCCCCAGAAGGTCCTCGGGATGATTTTCATATTCTCTCTCATTTCCTGTGGGATATGTGAACAAATTCTAGTGCAAATGTGAGACATTAAGTGTGAACAATCACATTCGTGATTCTGGTGGCATTATAAATATATGAATTGGATGTGGTACCCTGGGATATGGCACCCTGGTGTGGTACCAAGGGATATGGCATCGTGGTGTGGTACCCTGGGATATGGCACCCTGGTGTGGTATCCTGGGCTGTGGTGCCCTGGTGTGTGGTGCTAGACTAAGGCTTGCTACGTCTTTCGCATACACAAATGATGATGCAATTTCTTTGCATGTCTAAAATCCAATTGTGCTTTAAGGCCAGACATCTTATTTGAGAAACAGCAGACTATTATTGGTTTTCCGATTGCAAGAAACTCATGGAGAAGTATAGCCAATTATGTAGACTAATGGGTGACTCTGTCAAAATTTAACTTATGGCAGCTTCAAAGAATACTCCGTAAGGCTTTGCTCTTAATTGTATAGATTTTAACTGGGAATGGTCTTGCTGACGTCCAAGGTGAATAGCTTAATCTAGAAGTTTTTTTTGGTTTTAAGTTTGAACAGTTTTGAATGCACCTTCAAGTGGCTGTCTTGCAGAGAACCTGCTCAGAATTTTATAAGAACTCTCAATTAAAACCAGTTACAAAGTTTGATTGCCTTTTCAAGTTCATTTCTGGCCTAACCTTTTTTTGGGTTATAAATATTTTAATTTTAATTTTAATTTTTTAATGTCAGACTGGCAGGTGTGTGGTGAGCCTGAAGAGTCGGAGGAGGAGGAGGAAAGTGAAGAAGAATTGGAGAGTTATTTACTTCAGAGACAGAGCTCCTGGGTTTTAGCTGACTTAGAACAGGTGAGAGATGTGAGAATTTGTTTTATATTACTGGGAAAAAGCTATTGAACTGGCAAGTTAATCTGTATCTTTGTGGTGGTTATAAAACAAAGCTGATAGAGAAAATTTTATACCAAAGCTCATAACAATAGATTAGGAAAAAAACAAACAAATGCATTCCCCCATTCAATCTACTTTGAAAGAATTGCATATTTCATCTAGTAAGTTACCACTTTCATCATTGCAGTTTCATTAAATTGTTTTTAAGCATGGAAATCTTTTCAGTAAATCTCATAAACCTATTGTAGAAGTCCTGATTTCATGCCATTTGAAAACACACTTATAAATAAAAATGCTGCAATAGAAAAAATTAGAACAAAAATAACATTTGAGATTTAAAAAATTAAACTAGACTTGGAGTCTAATGACGGCTAGAGAGTACTATGTGTCTTTGTATTTGGTATATGAACACGTACACATTGGGGAAATGGGAGCTTGCGGTGACTCATCTTCAGCTTGGCATAATATGAAGATATAGACAGGAAAATAATGTAATAAAGATAATTTTGTTTCAGTTGTATTTTTATACACAAAGTTTCAAGTAGCATGACTGAAGTGACAAATTATGCTTGACAAAAAATGAGCATTCTGCATCTTTTTACTGGGAACTTCTCTGTGAAATGGTCTTTGGGACTTTGATATTTGAGTGTAGATAAATTCAGCATGGAAAGAACTCACATGCATGTGATTTCAGTGACAGTAAAACAAACAATTAATTGTCTTCCTCCTGATTTTTATAGATGGTGTCTTACTGACTGCATACTGTTTCTGTAAGTGGGTATTACTCTCTGCCCACTCCTTCTACAGGTGGTGTCTACTGATGGAGTCTAAATCCCTCTGTTTCTTGGTCCATGTAAACTTTTGAGGAAAACATGTAAGCAATCAAATTTAGACCGTTGTAATTTCACAGATAATGTGTAGGCAGAATCCATGTTGTTCATTCTCTGTCAGAATTATTGGGAGGGAAAAAAACATGCAAGCAATCAGATTTGGACCCTGTGATAGCCCTTGTACAATTACTAATTGAAAAGATAGGGTAAACAGCACTCCATGCTTGCAAACAGAAACTCTACCATCCAGAACCAACAGATCCTGACCACGCAGCTGGGGATCTTGTAGCAGGAGCGGAACTGTGATAATTTTCATGTAAAATAACAAGAATAACATGGGCCATTTGTTATGGTTTGCTCTGAGATGCCTGCCTAAAGGTGAAATGGTCAAAAGGCCACTGGCAAGGTGGATACCAGATTGAAATCACTCACTTTCTGTTCGCTCCCATAAGGTCATTGGTCTGCTAATTCCTTTGTAAGCAGTAAAGGAACAGTATCTTGGCTTGATTAATTTCATTATTTTAAGGAAATATTCTTTTCAGGATCTGTGGCAAATTTTGAAGATGGGGTTTTATTTGTTTTCACAAGAATGTTTTCTTGAAACCTGTCTTATTTTCACCCCAATCATTATATGAAAACTTTTTCCAAAATTTAGTATTTTCTGAATATGTTGTTGGTGAAATTTATATTTTAAAAAAAGGAATAATATTGTTTTTGAAGAGAATCAGTATTGGAAATTTGTTTGTTAAAGTTATGTTAAGAATATATGTGTCTGAAAGTTTTCAAATATAACAGTCTCTCTCTCTGAAACTCCTTCCAGTTAATAAGGCTAACACAGTGTATATAAACACATTCTATTCCTGTTTTAGACTAAAATGCAATTTCCAGTGGACAGTCTTCTTCTGCGCTTGTGCATATTCTTTTTTAAAGATATTAAACAATAAGACAAAAAAAGTGTGGAATATTGAATGGATTTATTCTTTACTGGTCAATATTTACTATGACAGGTATTAAAGCAGATCCTTTATTACTATGTGATTAAGCAATGCTAGACTTAGTTCTGTTTAACAATCTGCAAGATGCCACGTTCCATGTCAGTAAGCACACAAACTCCCTGAACGGAAATGAATGTGATTAAATCATTATTCTCTCCATTTGTAAGTTTGCTCATTTCTTTATCAAACAAGGAGCATTTAGGCCTGAAAACATGAGCAAAACTGTGCTAATATTTGTTCTTCCAATCAGACATCCATTATCAATATTCTCGCACTGAAATTATCGTTTCTGTGATAAAGGGGTACCAGATTGCCAGTCCATGGTTACTTAAGGGGGAAAATCATCCATCCTTTCTAGTTTTGTCATCAGACAATCATTTAAGGCAATGTCCTGACCATTTTATTGATTCAAAGACCTGGTTCATAGATAAAGAATATGAGGCATGTTATGAGATGTTATGACATGTTCTGTAGGGGTTATGTAGAACTGACTAAGTGTGTGTCATAAGAATAGGGGCGAATTTAAAACTGAAATTATTTGATCACCCACTCCCATTTTGGTAAGAGTAAAGAAATAGTGTCCACATTTCAGAAGAGATTTTACAAATTAACCTATTCAATAAACAGTATTTGTTTTTGCTTCTTTTTTTTTTCTTTTGTTAATAAACCTGAACTTTGGGCAGAAATAAAACTGTCACTTTCTATTGAATTATTTGACATAACAAGGAAACATTTGCGATAATTCTTATATTGCCTTACTTAATATGGTTGAATAAAGATGAAATGTAATTGCATCTTTTGGATAAAGGATTGGGTTTTATGGACAGGATTGGTCCTGCTTTCATCACGTAGCTATTATTTGATATATCTGTGTATTATGCTTTCTTATTATTATAAATCTAGGATGTAGGCTCAGATGATTTCACATGGAATGAGCTAGAGATGCCACGCCCGTACACTCTGAACCGAGAAAGAACTGCCATGACAATCGAAGAATTCTATGCACCAACGCCTACACCAGCTAAGACACCAGGTAATCAACTGAAATTATTTTTATACCACTTTGAAGAAAATCCTGAATCAGAAAGTGGAATTGGTTTGTTACTCAACTATTTATTCTCTTTGTAATAGAAGTGTCTTATATCATTATACAATAAAGGAGAAAACAGAAAAAAATTGGGCATATGATGCAAACTTTTGAAAGCAATTGGGTTTGTATAATTTCAAATGAAATTCATTGACAAAGTGATTTGAAAGCATTTGTTTTTGTAATTTTTTATGAAATTCTGAATCTCCTTGCAAATTTGGTTTTTAACATGAGGTGGCTTTTATTCTTGTCAGTCCATGCAACTTTACTGCACTAAAATCTGTTTCATTGATCTTTATAGTGCTCTGGAATTAGAATAATGGTGTTAAAAAATTAGATATTATTCAACAGCAACTTAAATACCTGTCTCCTGTCATTATTCTGTACAATACTATGGAAAATTAGCATAAAGGCCCTCAGATTATTTATGCCTCAGCAGCAACTTTAATGTGGGCCTTGTAATTTTGCTCCATTACAAAGGAATACATTGGCATTTTTCTATCAGATTATATGTATAAATACAAAGTTGAATCTTCAGGCAACTTCACTTATTACTCAACAGTGACATTTATGCACAAGGATCACCACTGCTACATAGATTGCCATCATAAATCTTTTTTATTAGATTTTTTTTGTTTCACACTAGTGCTTGGACTACATTGTTTAAGTGTCACCTTTAATATGAATATCAAAAAAAAAAAAAAAGAAAAGAAAAAGAAAAAAAGTGAAGCATAAAAATGTTGTAATAGTATGCCCCTGTATTTTCTTACTTAATTTAAAGAAAAGTGTTTGTATGTACTGCATGTATATATATTTGGTGTGTTAGTTTTAGTTAAGATGTGACTATCTTGGTCTGAAAAAATAACTTTGCTCTAAGATAAGATTTAATGATTGACAACGGTGTGTGACATCATATGAGACTTAGAAAGCAAAACATCCATACTGTTGTACAGAAGACAGTATTTTGTTTGCTATTATTTCTGGCCCTGCCCTCTTCGAAAACCAGCAAAATTTTAAGTCAGATTGCAAGGGCATCCTGAGACTGTTTTCCTTATATTTAGCCCACCTTACAGAGTTGTTTTAATAGTTAACTTCAGAAGGTTGACTAAAATCACCATGGTGAGCTGGGATCATTATGACACCTGGGCTTTTTATGATTTAAGAACTATACTTTATCACAAAGAGAAGTAGGAAGGCCTTAAGATTAAAACATGTCCTCTCCAACGTTCTTAGTTTGCTTATGCCCCTATTTCACACAGACCACAAATCGCCAGGAATTGACAAATTTCAGGATTCGTGGTTGAATCGTAATCAGTTCGTGAAGTTCTGAACAGATTCGTTTATATTCGTAGTCAGTTCGTGCAATGCTTGATCAATCGGAATTAACTTTGAGCTGTTCAAAATTTTAGCCATGAACTCCCGATTCCAAAAAATCGTAGTTAATTCGTAGCAAATTCGTATCTCATTCTTAGGCATTGTAACTGAATCGTAATTGATTCATAGGCATTCGTAGGTATTCTTAACTCATTCGGGGATTCGTGAATCCCTGGATTGACCACGAATCGGCTACGAATCAGTCACGAATCCCACGAATATTGCTGAAGCAGAAATACTGCAAAATGTCAAGAATAGTCCAGAAATCACTTTTATTGGTATCCAATTCGTGCATACATTCGGCTTATGCTTAACTGATTCCTTATTGATTTGTAACGTTTGTGCAGTATTCGTAAAAGATTCTTGTAAATCGTAGTGAATTCTTGACAATATTCGTGCTATTCCAGCCGAATCCCACGAATATTTGTAATACTATTGCACCTGTATCATAACTGAATCGTAGAGCGTATCGAATTAGGCCAGAAAATTTGCAAAATCTCATGAAACCTGAAATTTGTCAATTACTGGCGATTCGTGGGATTCATGGTCTGTGTGAAATAGGGGCATTAGCTAAAACTGCTGTGCGCTTTTATTTGAAGCAGAACCTAAGCTGCCAAATTATATAGGTACCTTACTGTCTCTGTAACCTTGTCATCTGGTGGCATGAGTTGGGAGTTTTATTTCAGTCTAAGATAGGCCTTAGTCTGAACACACTTAGCATCATAAGCCTGATTTTATACCATTCATCAGGGCTACCTACAATATCTGCAGTTTCCAGGGACTGAGCATTCACAACCTGGGGAACAATTATAAGGTATTGCAATCACGCTAGTGGTTCCTCTAATGACCTCAGCCACCAGGCATTGACTCCAACAGTTTTAGAGTTCACGACAGCATTGTTCAGTGTAATTTGTTTTTGTTTTTCTGCCTCAAAGAACCCGAGGAAGAGACTGCAGATCAGGGTGAGTTATGCATGCATGTATCATTATCAGCAGCTTGATCACAGGTGCATGGGATTCCATTTCATTCTCATTTATTTATTTGGGTAGTTTTAACCTAGCCAGGTGTTACTTAATCTGCTGTTCCTATCTTTGCTGCTGCTGTTAGTTGATGCATATGTGGATTATTGTGCTTTGGCTTGGCTATGACTTTCAAATGAAATTATGTGAGAAATTTATCTTTATTATTGATGTATGCTTTGAAGTTGTTAAACTTTTTTTAATTTGGCTGAAAGGCCATGATATTGTACATGATATTGTATATGTTTTATACAAGTTGCTGTGCACTGATTGTCATCTTGTTTCTTGGTCATCTGAAAACTGTGTCATTATTGTCAAATAACTGTAACTTTATCTTGACTGTTAAGTAGCAGTGGTATGATATTTCAAGATATCAAAGGCTGCTGACATTGGCACCTATATTTCATCTTCTTCTCATGCAGTCATTTGTGGCTGGCACATAAAATATATTGATATCATTGTGGCAAAGACAAATGGCTCCTGCAGCTTCTTATTTAATTTCGGTGTCCACATGATAAAATATTTACAGTCTCTTTCTTTGTAACAGTAACATATCTGATTCATTCCATTTCTTTGTAACAGTAGCACATTGATTCATTCCATTGCTGGTGTTAGTATTAAAAGAACTAGTGCCACTGTTCAACCAAATTATATTTGATGTGTGTCACTTCATATTTGTTTGTTGTTTCAATAGAAAAACTTTTGAGCTCAAACCAAGGTAAATTTAATCTCTGTCGTTGCCTTTATTTATTTGTTTCTCTGGAGAAAAATTATGGACCGTCTTTTGCAATAAAGTGTATTACTTTTTTATCGTGGTCATTGTCACACTGGTAATTGGCAACAACAATACTAGTTTAACATCAGCAGCAACAATTTATCTATTTTTGTGCTCTGCAGTATCTTGTTCTTATTTTTGTTTTTATTTTTGATTAATTCCTAATTTAAAATTAACAGTGCCTGTTGTTGTTCCTCTTTTTATTTTTTCTTTGAGGAATTATAATTTACAGCTCATAATTACTGAATCTCCTCAACTTTTTATGCTGAGCCTGCTAATACATTTTTTTACTTTTATATGTTGTAGGCATAAGGTCATAGAATGTAATCATGTTAAAGAGACAAAATGGAAAGTTTTAAATGCATAATAAGTACAGAAACCACTTCTTGTTGTAAACTTGTTTATCATGTTTAAACAAATAAATGGCATGCATCAATGTATCCCAAATTGATAAATTTTGACACTCCCTAACAAACCTTTCCACTTCTCAACCATTTTGACACAGTTTTGAATCTCGTGCAATCTGGAAGTCAATGTGAGAATTTAGCTTGAAGGGAATGGCATAATTTGAAAAAAACAGGCTTAAGCCCATCTTTTCTCTCAATTGTTACAGTGTTATTGCATGTGTGTGGAAAAGAGGATCAAAGGTTGGTTAGGCAGTGAAAAAAATTACCGTCTACCCCAGGAAAATTTGTTAAGTATGTTTTTTTCCACAGGAAAATCTTACACTGCGCACCTTTAATTTCAATAGTTCAACTATAGCATCAATTTTCTTGAATACGTACCAAAACCTTTCCAACCATGGTTTTATGTGACATAGTTCAGTTTTATATTCTAAAGTGTTTCATTCAAGCTTAAAAATGGTTTTATATTACCTAAAAGGAGCATATTATACAGTGCAATTTTGCAATGTAACTTTTTTCTTTTTTTTTAGTGTATGACACAAACTGTTCAGTCGTAAAAAGTTCTTCTTGTGGTTTAAAATCTCAGTTTTACAGGGCAGATTTTGACTTTTGTTACATTTTCCTTTTTATTTTGTGGTTAGCTACATCTATTCAACTGTAAATAGTGTTATATGAGGCTCAGTTAACTTTGTTACATTTTTCATAAACTTATCCAAGCAAAAAGTCTCGTGTATAACAAGCTTTGTGCAAGTTATAGAATTATACTTAACTCACGGGGCTGAAAATCACTTAGTATAGTGCAAAATAAAATTTTCAGCCACAAGTTTTGTCGCACATTACTGTGCACAAATGACATCTAGCATCCAGAATTGAAAAAACACCATATATAATACAACTTGTTAATTTTTTTGCAGCCTTGTTTCTCATGTACAGCTATATACCAAAGCATGAAAAAAACTCCTAGTGAAACCTTATCTGGTTGGAATCTTGTTCTGTCAGGGGTGGTAACTGTGATCCAGATGACCTTTAATAGTTCTGCTCAACCTTTATCCACCTTGGGGCTAAATCATTCTTAATCCTCTAGCTAGCTCTGGCTCCACAGTAAGCCCACTGGGGTGAAACCGCTGATTACTTTTGTAATTTAGTAACTATCTGGTCTGAAGTAACCCAAACTGACCCCAACAGGGGGATATTTTTACATGTTCGACTAATTTTATCATGACTTCTGTTTGATTTATTTTGGTGCCATCTGGGTGCTTTATGATGACTTTTTTTATTGTGTTTGAGGTACTGCATTTTCATTTGCTGATTTAAAGACTTTTTTATTTTATTATTTTAATATGTTTTGCTGTAGATTTATATTTTGCTTTGAATTAAAAAGAAAATTTTGGTTAGGTCATTAAAATAAGTGTCAGCATCTCGTATCCATAGTAATGTCTACAGAGGAAGGTATAAACAAATATAATAGCGATGTTCATGTAGTAGTGAGACCATATGCTGTTTATTGTTGTTGTAGTAGTAGTAACTTTATTAATTTGTAAGTCATAATTGGTGTAGATTTAATTTATTTTAGATACAGACACGCAATTCATTTGATAATATATTTTGACTATACTTTCAATTACCTGTGTAAACAACACTTGGTCTTTTTAGATTAAAAAAGATAAGTTTTCATCCCTATAATCCTGAAAACATTGTAATTTTTTCATAATCTCTGAATTCTAGGAAATTTCACAAGATCCTCAGCTGCCAAGCCAACCACAGCAATTCATGAAGAGAAAGATGAAGAGGATGAAAATTCTCGGGAATTTACTCTACAAAATGATCATAAAATGGTACCAGGTGGGGCAGACAGTTTTGAAGTTGTACAAAACCAAGGGGAGGAAACGGGTGAATATCATGAACAATTTGCTGATTCTCACATTGGAGGTGCAGCAATTCCGGTTGAAGAAGAAATGGCCGACAATGGTTTTGAATTTGTCGGAAATAAACAGAAAGGTGCTACAGATGACTTTGCTCAAAATGACTTAGACTTCAATAAAACTGCAGGAACAATAGAAAGTGATAGCAAACTGCCACCCAAACCACCACCTATGAACAATGCAAACAGGCGAAGACCTGAGAACTTCCTGGGGTCTTCTTCTGTCTCCCCAAAACCTTTTTCTTCACATTTTCCTCAGCAACCAACAGTTGCCCAAGTCAGTAAGTCCTACGCAGATAGCTTTGCATTGCCAAAAGAACAGGCCTCGCTGACTAACAAGACTCTTGACTTTGTTCCAGTGGAAAAATTTGTCGTCTGCGAATACAACACGGTTTGTGATAAACCAGCATGTGCCAATACATTTAGCAGGGAAACGAAGAAGCGATACCACTCTCAGGAAGAATGAAAAATTGCAAAATGGCGGAAGGAGGCAGAAGGACCAAAACCCAGTTAATCTGCGCAGACCCAAGAGATTGCAGTCTTTGAAGCCAGAACCAGAATCTCAGGTATTGCATAATAGTTTTTTTGATCCTGATAAAACACATCCCAAGTGAATATTTCAGTTGGCACAAAAATTTTTAGACACACATTTTTATAATTCAAAGAGCTTTTTTTGCCAAAATCAAGGCTGGAAATCGCACAATCTTCCTTTACATTCACTTAATGGTTAACTTTTTCTTTTGCATAATTTTTTACAATATTTACATTGATAATCACAAGGTGATGATCCCAAACATTAAAGTAATTAAGAGGGATCGACAGAGGCGCAGGTTTTTCCCACGTCGGGGCCAAATTTTGACCCAACAGGTTGACCTTGTTTTCCTTCTAAAATTCTTTGAAGGTTATCAAATAGAAATACAGTATTAGATTAATCTCAGATTATTAACTCATGGGCCCAATGCGTAGATATGCCACTAAGGTCAAGGTCATTGTGTCTCGTTTAAATCATAAACAGATGATTCGCAATACTTCTGTGAAGACGGACATCTTTTTCAAATCACAAGTTCATTGAGCTAACATGAGAAAGACATGTTCAATAATAAACTTGTTTATGTGGCAGGTAACATACAGATCAAAATAAGTTCTGCGGCTGCACCAGTTCTCAGCGAAAAAATAAACATGATACAATTGCACTCTAGGGTGACCAGAACATAGGTTGAACAATGTATGTTTTATAGGGAATTATAAGGGGAAGGGGGTTATCAGTGGACATTTGACAGTTTTTCAGTTAGTGGGAGGAAACTTGGGTTGCACATTAGGGAAGGATCTATAAAAAGTGGAAGTTGTAAACTTCAAAGGTGCTTTGTATCCTTATTTCTATTAGAGAAGTTGTTTTTCTTGTAACCTTTAAACATGAAATGCCTCGAGATTTAAAGTTATTTTAGTTCGGTGAGAAAATGTTTGTTCTGTAACAGGGTAATTCGGATGTGTTCAGCTGAAACAATTGTCTTATAGATATATTTGCTATCAGCATATTAGCCTGTTTAGTATATTATGGAATTCATAGTAATACTTTGAAGTCTTTAAAACATGATTTAAGATTTTTAAAGGTTACTGGTGCATCTGCCAATATAAATATCAGAAACAGGTGTCAGTTTTGGTGTGAAAGATTTTGTAATTGTCTAGACTTAAATAATCAGCTTCATAGATACCATTGGTTCCTTTTTCATTTGGCCCCATGTTTTTGGCTAATTTTGGAAACTTTCCACAACAAGCCAGGCAGAAATCAGAGCCTTTCAGAGCAACAGACCTCCACCGCGGAACAGCCCGAGGAGTAGAAAAACTACAAGTCTGACTAGCGTTTTCAATCTACGGACCTGCTGCATCTCTTGTTGCCTGAATAAACCAAGCAGAAAAAAGTAACAAGCTTTATCAGGCCTCGAACAGCTGGAATCGTGTTCCTACATATGTCTGACAACATTTTCTATCAGAAACCAAACCATTTCAGCTTTAATCACTACTTCTTCACCAAATGTCAGAATCTATCCCTTGACAGGAGAGAAGTGAAAAAAAAAAGCATGATGAAGAGAGAAAAAGAACTGGAGTTAGTGTAACTTTAACCTAGTGGTGTGATGCTGTCAACCTGATTGTTACATTCAACATTAGTCTCAGATCTTGACTTTTTGCACGAGTTCTCTAATCAGACCAGAGTTCTCATCACATCACTGCTTTGGTTTCCAATTCAGGTTCTGCTTGGGCTGAAAGGCATATCAGTAATCCGGGAACATGTTCTTTTTTTTTCTTACCCTTTCTTTATGTCTGTGCCTAGTTCACTGATGCAGTTAAGTGGAGGCTGATTTGATCCTGACCTCCTGGGCATGGAACATGAACAGAGCTTGTAATTTTGTTTTAAATGTCAATTGTAGTTGGAATTTGGCAGTAGTGAATAGTGAACCAGGGCCAGGGCTCCTGATTCGACTATCTGGCAGTTGCCATCGTGGTACTGAATAGTTTCCAGAAGATTTCTTTTCGAATTATGGATCGGAATTTCGTTAAACAGCTGTTCATTAAGTGTTTTGCGATTTTTCCTTTTTGACTCCTTTTTTCCTGGGAATGTTCAATTGAAATGTCTCTAGATTTTTGTTATGTGGGGGAAACGCCAAAGCCACATAATGAAATTGCATAACCTCTTTAATCATCAGACTTAAGATAAACAGGGATTGTTTCTTTTCCTTTTTTCTCTTATCTTCACCGTAAAAGAGTCAAGTAAACATGGCGTTGCTCCATTGGGGTCTGCTCTTTTGTTGTAAGGTGAAGTGGTGGCAGTGTTGGAGGAGGCGAGAACATGCTAAGTCAAATACACGAAACAAATTGTATAACTTAAAGTCATCAGACAAGAAAAAACAGACATGGCCCACTGCCTTTTTTCTCCTCTCCTGAAGCAGTCAAGTGTACATGACATTGCTCCCCTTGGGTCAGCTCTCTTGGTGGCAGGTGAAGTGGAGGCACGTTTCTTTGGCTGCTTATAGTCACATATGTGTTTTTTTATGTATTTGGATTGCAAGCACATGTTTGTTGAGGCAGGCTCAATTTGACTTCTGCAACCAACTCATAAGAACCTGCAGTAAATAAGCAGTAGTTGGTTTTGTCTTTGTTTGTTTCTTCCAGATTTGAGATTGATATCAATGTGGTATGTCATATATTTTGACACTTTTTATGCCTTCCTGAAACAAGAGTGTGGAGTAACTATTTATTACCGTTAATGAAATATGTCTTCTAAAGTAAGACTTGTAAATAAGTACTCACTAAATATGATGATACTGTTAGACAGTAATAGAAAAAAAGAAACGTATTATGTCATAAATGATATTATTGTGAAAAAGGACTTGTTTGAAACAGTGTTCACTCAAGCTTGTCGGCGGAACTTTTTGAGACAAAAACAGTTTCCTACAGACAGCCATAATACAAAGGTCTTAAATTCTCGACTGAGATCAACTAACTAAGCTAACAACACTGCCACTTTTGATTGCTGCCTACAGGGCAGTGTATTTCAAGAAATTAAAGGAACATGCACTCTGTCTTGTTTTCTATGCCCCTGCGTGTGCTGAGCATGAAGTCGAGCCAAAGTTAACAGGCTTGCCATTTCAGCCAGGTTTGTCTCTAATGATGTTGTTTTCTCAGAACATGAACTCCAGACCTGCTGGAAAAAAAGGAGGGGGGGGGGGGGGAATCTGAAGGCTTTTCCACATGGAAGCTGGCTTTAAATCGGTTAAATCACTAGCACCTTCCTAGTATGCTAGACCCATGTTGGTATACACTAGCCATGTGTTGTTCCATGTAGAATTAGTGTTGTCCAATTGAATCCAATGGGTTTTGGCCAAGTTAACAACATAAGCCAGAAGGTCAGATGTTCTTTTCATTAAAACTCTTGTACCAACAGGTATCAGTTGGGCTTTTTTTCTTGTCCATTTGTCTGTGCACCAGGTGTTGATATAACAGTTGGACATCTCCTTGGGTAATGCTTAAATCAAGAGTTCTCCCCAGTCTTCTGTTGCCTAACTATTTTATTGGGGTGAATTTCATTTCTGGATATTTGATTTCTGGCAAATCAAAGTCGTGTTAAAATTAATGAAGTCAAGTGACGCACAGCCAGGGAATTTGTCGGTCCAGTGGGTAGTTCTTTGGCTGCAGTTTAGTTACCTGACTTGGTATGCGTGTAGGCAGTGACGCTGTTTATTATTCCTGCTGTTTCATTCATTCAATGCAGTCCAGCTAGTCATGTGTATGAAAAGTACTTAATTAGTATCTGAGAACTCCTTAATCCATGAGAACCAAAGATATATGAACATATTTATTTTATATAATAATAAGTGTTAATTTTGCTTACAGAGCATGCTTGCATATGCTTCTTTTTTTTTAAAATAGATTTTTCTCATAATAAGAAATGTAAATAAGAACATTATCCTGAGCACACTTTATAGTAAGTGTGATTGATCAGAAAAAATTACCATTTTACAACTTGGGTAACCATCATTTTACTGTAAGTTAAAGATCAAAATTAGGTCAATGTGACCTGGTTTATAGAAAAGATAGAATATTTATTTTCTTCTCAAAAGATCAAACAATTTCTCTGTAAGATGTTAAGAATGTCAAGTACCTTTGCTTCTGTACAAATAGGAGAGTAATCTCTTTAGCCACATAAAAGGGCAAAAAAGCTTAAAGAATCTTGTTGTAATGTATGATTATGTCCTCAGGTCAAAAAAGGTTGCATTACACGGATAGCAGGCGAATAAGGAAAAGCTTAAGAACAATCTCATTAACAGAGCTTCTTAATCGAAATGTACTTCCTGGGGCTTCATTAATTCAGCATATAATGTGCAATTTGTAAACTTGAAAGAAACATGAAGAAATTGGAGCCAAATTGAAAAGGTCACCCAATATGTGGAATTCATGGTGTTCGACATGATTTTGGGTAATCAACAGCATTTTCCACAGTAGATTAAGAGAAGATGGGTTTTGGTTTTGGGTTGAACTTGTATTTCTGACACTGGGGTGAAGCCGCAAAAATGTGATTTGGATTAGGTGTTGGGTTAAGCAGGTCAGAGAGGGTGATTACAGTCACCCCATACTGCTAGTCTAAAAGTTACAACTGTGGATGTTTTCTGTGGAGTGAGAGAACTAAGTCTGTCTTTGTGTAGAACATTTTTTAAACATGCAATATAATGTTAAAATGGGCTGGTGTAAGCATTTAAGAAACTTTGTGATGACATGGTAGGCAGACAGAACTATTTATAGTGTAATATTTGAATTCTCAAAATAGCAGTAAAGGTGATAGAATTCAGAGTTGATAGAGTCAAGTAGTGTACATCTTATCAATATATATGTAGTTCCATCTGATACAGGATGAATACACAATGAACCGCAAAGAACACATATATTACAAGCACCTTAGGCATCTGGAATGATATTTCAGTTGCTCCAAACAGTAGAAGAGAAGATACAAGTACAGTGTTTTTAGATCATGAACTATAGACTAGAATGTCAGCATTAAAATGGTATTTGGTCTTATAAACGCAGTAGGCTGCAGTTTTTGGCACCCAGACTCCAGCATCAGAAGTCAATTTTCCTTCCCAGGTGGGGAAGGGTGATGGCCGATTAAACCTAACTAGAAAAAACACTCACAAGAGAAACCCGAGAAGACCTTTGTTGATACTGCTCATAAAAAATCAACACATCAGTACAAAAAAAGCAGATCTGGAAGACTGGCAAAATATGATCTTAGCGTTATGGTATTGTTATTTAGTGTCTTTGGGTGCCTGACGCTTCATCACCTCCAGTTCTAGATGAAATGCTGTGCAGGTCATTAGGAACCCTCAAGCCACTTGAACATTGCTTTTACGCAGATAAAAGTGGTAGCCTTGGAAATATCACCGAGGAATCTGTTTGTTGAAATGATTAAAAGAATATTTTTTCAAACTGCTCAAAAACAATATGTGCCAGATGTGGGGTAATATTGAGTAAGCAAAAGCATCCGTTCTTAGGACCCTGCTGTGGTGTCAGAAGTTGGAATTATATTTTGTTCCACAATTATTTGCTGCATTCCTTTATCATGAGTCCTTGATCTTACTGAGAGTTTTCCTCTGTCAATCTGTTTAGCGTACTGCTTCTCATTATTTTTGAGGGGTTGTGAATCAATCGTTATCATTTGATGTGTTTTTCTCTCTGTGTATATGTGTATGTGTGTGTTTTAAGTTCCCTGACTAAACACAATTTCACTCCAATTATAATTATTGACCTCTATTTACAGGCTAAATCTGGGGGTCAGCAAAGTCCTCAGGACATGGGGCAGCCTCTGGACAAACCAAAGATGATCCCAAAAGCTGTGTCCTTCATTATAGCTGACCGGTCATTCCCAGGAGGCCCTGCTCCAGGGGCAGTTCCTAAACGCAATGCAAACGTATCCAATGTGAAGTATCCCTTAGGCAGTCGCGCACCCAAAGCGGCCCCAGGAATGGGCTCTGAAGGGAGACAGCAACAACGTGCAGCAAAAGTGCAGTATTCAAGTGCCTCTTCCTGGAAAGATAAAAGAGATTTGTTAACATTACAACCTAAAGACGCCCACCCAGTGCCTCGCTCAAATGTCACAGGTGGAGGCAGAGGGAGGGGCGGCAGAGACCCCGACATTTACGTGTTAGGCAGTGGCCCCCACCCTCCAGGCAGGGCGGTAGAACGGAACTCCGCCGGTTCCGTCTCCAACAGGACCAATCCAGCTCGTGCTCTCAAAGAAAGCCATAGCATGCCCTCCTTAAAGATAGTACCAGGGGCCTCTGTAGGCAGTTCTACCAGCACTGTCAGCATCACCACGCTGGATCAGGCTGATGTGTCGTCTATAGCTAATACTAGTCTATGGCTGGACAGTAGTAAATCCGAGGCTGGGGGCTCTGACGAGGGCACAGCTCAATCACAGCTCAGCTAAGGCTCACCTCTGCATGAAAACCGTGCTAGTCGTTTAAGAAGGCAGTCGTCAAATGAGAACTTGTCTGTTATTAGAAGAAGATTAACTACGCTGTTTTAAACATTTATTTATTTAAACTTTTTTTAAAAATTCCTTTATATATTTATTCGTGTTTTGGAATTTTTTCGATTATTTTAACAATTTCTATAAGAGATTGTTTGGTTATTTTTCAGTTTCTTTGCGAAAATGTTAACTAAGATATAAAATGAATGACGGCTTAATTTCTATTAACAATCGTACTTTGCCCGTGAAAAAAGTCTTTATTTTCCTAGTTTAAGTAAATAGTCCCAAAACGATGTCTAATCTCCATGAAATAAAGAACGATTAGTGTAGTATACTTCTTAACTCTGATGTATGGGAGCCTTGCATGTTGGAAGGCATGGTTGATTGTTTGTTGTATCGGTGACGCTGTCATGCTGAACACGGATTTGATTACATTTCCTTTTCCAGTCATTTTCGCTACTTCAAACCTGGTGTTGTTCAGTGCTAAGCAGTTTGGACAATTTAGATCATTTTATTTGATACAACTTGCGACTCCACTCGAACGATCGTTTGATAGATTGTGACCGAGCATGGAATAGGAGAAAGGCCGGTGTGATGCTTCAACCTTAGTTACTAACACCCCTACCGATGTTGCAAACAAGCCCCCTTTAACATTTTTTTTATCTTTTTTATTTTAAAACACGATACGGTAGTTGTTCTTTTAGATTTAGTCACATTAAAAAGGTGTTATATTTTTACTAGCTAATTTTTTTTTGTGCTTTTTAAAATGTATTTCTTTAGATTAGCATTGTCTTTTATATATATTTCATAATCTTTTTTCGTACAAAAAAAAACACCAGTAGTTAACTGTCATTTTATCTCTTCCTTCACGTTGTCTTTTTCTAAACCCAGCACGTTAGTCTCATTTTAGTGACACACGTATGTCGTTTCATAGTTTAGTCACTGTTCACGATTGCTTCCCCTTCCGTGGTTTCCAAGCAGAGTTGAGCCATAGCTAGCTGCCTGATTGTGTCGTGTTCTGAGTGCTCTTTCATTTTATTGAATAGATCTGCACATTTTAATCATCAAGGTGGAATTTCAGGCCCGTCCGACAAAAAATTACATGTATTAATCTTAGTTTTATCAGTAGAGAACACGCCTGAACTGTTTTGATCCTCAAAGATGTGCCAAACTGTCGATGTGCCTGGATTTTCGTTTCATTTATGATGTTATCTTCTTCCGTCGTTCAGAGAGCTGCAAAGTGTTGAATTGTGTATGCATAGTAGACGACGCGTGTGTGTGCGTTTTATATGTGCGATTTCTATTCCTGTGCATTATTTAATGTTTTCTTGCATTGCAGTAACTATTTTCGTTCGAATGGTTATGAACTTGACTTCTTCTACATTGATGATATATTATTATGGGCAATGATGAACATTATGATGATGGTGATGTCATGATGACGTCGATAGTCATGTGACACGAACGCACCGTTAGGAAAGTTGCAGTGGATGGTTTGCGCCAAATTTCCCAGAAAATTGCATCTAACTAATTGATGGATAATCAGGCAATGGTTATGGAGAAGGAAGAGCGATTAACCGTGACTTAATGATCTTCTAGAAAAGAAATTTCGATTAAAAACTGTGATACGTATGCTAGGCTAGTTTGATATTTTTGTATGAATTTTAAAGCTATTTATTGTACTTAAATGACAAAAATAATGGTGATAGTTCTAGCACAGTCGTATGATGATGTCCTACGCAATATGCAGATAGCTTTTATCATTAATTGATTATATCAATGGTTCTGATTTACAGAACGGCATCAGTATTTTTCATCCGTCCTTGATTGAACTTATGATAATGACGGATAATGACTTGGGGAAAGTGCACGTTGGGTCATCAGTGTGTAAGTGAAATTACTCTAATAAGATAAGATTTCAGTGAGCTTGATGTGTGCCCAACCATTCCACTTTAAGGCATGCATGATTTTTTTTTTCATTTCAACATGATTGAAAATATTCCCTCCATTGTTCGATAAGATTTATTTATTAAGAGATAGATTTTTAGATTTTTGAAAGTATATTTATAGTTTTTAATGTAACGTTTTACCATTACTGACACTGGTTTTACCTTTTGTAATGTTTGTTATATGTAATGATTGTTACTAATTCAGTTTTGTAAAACCTATCTGATAGGTGATCATGAAAAATTAATAAATTATATATAGTCTTGAATGAGCATCTTTACTATTGTTGGCACGCAAATGTGATGAAATTGAAAAGGTGTGAAAATGGTGGACTTCAATTAAATTAATGATATTGTGCCGTCTTTTTATTGACAAGGACGGACCACGTTATGCGACCCCCATGTTTAACCGATTCGCCTCCTCGCGCTTCGAGTCCGTCTTCGGTTTAAGTGTAACCATGCCTTTGGTGATGCACTTTCCGTAGGAGAAGTTAAATGTAATAATATATGCATAATAAAAGCAGTTGATCACTCCAGCGAGTAATAAATTTTAATAGGACCTCAACTGAAGTAAGCGAAACCATCCCAAGGGACGAGTTGAAGCCATTTTGCCACTGGTAGTCAGCGTCCGGTCATTCGTTTCCTTCATTTGCAATTTCCATCCGACTCGCTTATATATTCTACATCAAAGATGAGCCCAGATATGTTGTTATCACAGGCAATCTGCATATTGCCATTTGTGCTGCTCTCTGGAGAATAGATTTTTACGAGAATCGACCCTTGCGTATGACCCCGCCTTACGCGTATTCGATACGAAGGATTCTAATCGCGGAGAAAGAGTGATAGCTCTCGGATTGATTTAATACTTAGGACTATTTCCTTCGTAATTGCTTGAAATTACTACAAAGCACTCTGTTTTTACTAGAGGACACAAATCTGTGATCCTCACATTTTAATCTGGAGAACTACTCTGATTGCGTCCTCGCAGCATATTAGAGTTCTGAGGAACAGAACGCTTCCATTTAGCTTCTAAAAATATTCGTCAGAATATCGATTAAGATCTTCTTGTCAGTGAGAGAGGGGAAAAAACAATGATTCAGTTTTTCGTGGAATTAAATCACGGCGTTTCCGGTAAAAATTATGTTGATTATCCTTAACAGGAATCATCTGTGTAATTCACTTTACTCTTTCACAACGAAGAGCCCGGGTTTCTGGAAGATCATTGCTGAGATTGAACACATTTTGAGAAATTGATTCATCCGGCCCGTCAATGGAAATATTGAATGATCGGTAGAGAAGGATTTTGATATCCCACAGGGCTCATTCCTTTTGTTTAAAATGTTAAGCAAAATGTCCCTTGACCACTATAACCGTAAGCAAGGTGAATTGATGTGCATTCCAGGTCACTATGACAATAATGATATCCCTTATAGACCAACGTCAAGTAATGCATTTATTTATTTATTTATTCTACATGAAAAATGTCTTTTCTTGGTTTATTGTGTACGAAGATAAAAAAATACATGTATGCCCAAATGTTGATATAACTGAAGAACTTGCTCATTGTGGTTAGGAATTTACAGCAGTATATATGAAAGATGCATTTTTTGTGAAAATATGAATTTATCACTGCTGTTGCAGAACAGTATTGTAAGCAGTACTACGCCGTTTGATGCATGGTGATACCTCGTTGAATATATGACATTTATTCAGTTGTCTTTGTAAGACATTTCTGGATGTTGCTGATGGTAAAGTGTAAAAAAAACCCAGTGCATTTTGCCATGATAAATTAAAGATACCTCGATAGAAATAATGTTTTTTTTTAATTGTTTGAAAAGCAAGGGGCCGTTATGATATTATTAACACTGCTGTGAAGAATATTTTTGGTTCAGTTGCTGTATCCCGAGAATAAGGTGCACTTTCTAGCTGCCACTGTGAAAAAGTATTTTGCAGTTTACATTTCAAATTCGATATTGCACACACTATATTCTCTCCTGGGTCGTGAAAAATTAGTTTGGAAAACTTCGTTGCATTTCCCAAGCTGCAAGCGATAGCAGGGCTGCACAGTGCGGTTGGAAACTCAATAAATCGCCGCGGCACTGCGTAGCAATTTGTATCACAGAAGACGTGTAAGATCGGATGCACATATACTTGACGTATTGTCGAGTGCCACGGCTTGATGGGCATTGGAGGACATGGCGGGGTTCTTGTTTTTTCTCTAAAACGTACGCTTTATAATCATCCAAACCGATTGCGTTTAGAAGTAGCGAGTTGTTATTTATTATGGCTTTATTATGCACTTGTGCATGCCAAATTGTACTCGAAAGGGCATCCCTGGATTACAGCATTAAACATAGTTGTTGTTATTAGGAAATAAATGAAATGAAGGGTCTTTTTCCCATGGGAGGGCGCTGATGTCAATAGGTCGTTCTACGGTTAAATAAGGATAGAATCGCCCTGCTGACCGCTGGCATTTATGACCTCGGAGTTTTTGTTCACGCTAGAGATGTGGAAAAAATCATCAGAGAGCAAGATAGACGTAGTATCTTTAATGAACTTAAATGAAATGGGAGAGGAGAGGGAGCCTTTCCCCCAAAGGTTTTTTTTTCGATCTGCTAACCCATATTCCGTTGACCTTTCACGTTGCACATGAGTTGAAGGAAATCGCTGTTCTTATCATCCTGTGTTGAAACTGAGTAATTAGCTGAATCCATCTTATGAATTCATTCTACACTTTGTTGGCTGCTTCAAACCACAAGCAGTATCAAGGGAAAGTTGATTTTCCTCACTAGCCTGTGTTCTATTCATATTCGCATGATTAATTAAACTTCACCCTCAATTGGGTCCCCGATTTCATAGTACGCAAATGATTTTTTTCTCCTGGAAAAGGATTAATAGGTTTTTACGAGGCTCCGTAATGGTTATGCGCTTTCATCGAAGCTTTCCATTGATCGTAGTCATCCAGGGCAGTTCTGTGATGAGAGGCCGTGGTGCGTCTTTAAGAAAAAGCCAGTGGGCGTTTGCCCTTGCACACTGCTCTCGAGTCCTGGTTTCCGCCCACTCTAAGCACTTATGGCAAATGAATGAGTAAATCTGCTAAGACAGGGATGCTGTTATCCATCTTTATTCCATATAGTCATAAGTTCGAGAGGAAGTAGTAGTAAAAGTAGTAGCAGTAATAGTCGTAGAAGTAGAGAGGATAGGGTTGCTGCTATTGTAAGACCTAGTAGAAGCATCAGAAATAGCCAGTTAAATAGAAATGTTTTAATTTTTTTTTTCTAACAGCATTTTAATCCTTGATTCATATAAATGCAGTAAGAATGCAGGTACATTAAACCTCATTAATAATGAAATTAAATTGTAGTAAAAGGCACATAGACTTGTTAGTGATCGACTTATAAATATACAATACTGGAACTACAATAGCAGTGGCGGCAGCAGCAGTAGTAGTAAAAGAAGGACAGTGGTAGAAGTATTAGTGGCAGCAGTAGCTGACGATGAAGAACTGGCCTTAGCGGGAGTAGTAAAAGTAGTAGTAGCGATAGTAGGAATAGTAGTAATAACGACGACAATGGTGAATAATATTGACAGGCGGAGATTAATTGACATAATTTGCCTGCCAATGTCACTTCTTTGTGCATTTATTAAATCCTTCCCCATTCAGGAAACTGCACAGTGGTGTCATCTCCCCGGATCAATGGCGTGATATGCGAGCGTCAAGTTATATAATGATATTAAGACTCAGTTTTGTGATCCATGCAATCTAATCGTTATGAATGAAGTGAAATTCCGGAAAATTCACTTTAATTAAGAGAAACGCACTGGAAAGATAGCGGTTTAAATTGCGCGCAATTATGTGCGGTTATAACATTTTCTATTCGCTAGAGAAGAAAGTAAATCCGCACAGCGAGAGGTTGGATTCTCTCGGAGGATATCTGCGATTTGCATTCGCTCTTGTGACGCCCGGGTCCTGACTTATTTTATATCGATTTGTTATTTTGACTATTATCTCTTTTCACTTTGCTTGATCAGTCCTCGCAGCTAATTCGATGAAATATGTCGGGAACAGTAATGGGGGACAAGTTTGCGTCCTCTGCCGGCTGCCTCCACTTCCAGCTTCGTCTTGTTGCTATTACCGACTCGATGGCGTAACTGCAAATCAATAATAGTACATCAAAATTTTCTTCGCATCATATCGACTAAGATGCGTCAGTCAGACGACAAAAATGGAGCGGATTAAAATACCATTTCGGCACCAGTGATTGTAAACGTGACTATATAAGAATCCTTGTTTTTTTTTTACTAAAAGTCAACGTATGCATTTAATATTTCCATTTCACATGATTATATTTATAATACTTTATTGGGAAATCATTGTATTTGGACTATTGTTTTTGCAAAAAAAATGCATATGCGTGCTAAAAACTTACATGGTATGTGAAAATGCAGTCTTGTACTATACCAATGACAGTATGATAATATTCTCGGATATTCAACACAATGAATGAGCATTAATAACACCTAGCTGTTGGCTAACAACAGAAATCAACGCAACACTCGAGGCCCATCAGCGTTTTTTTCACTAGCCTTCAAACAATAGATAAGTGTCATATTTTACAGCAATGTGCCGTGATATTTATTAGAGAACCTTTCAATCCCGTGCCCTGACACGTCAACCTTTCTACGCTAAGGCTACTCAACTGTACCAAATTATCCCTGGGATCGTTCTGTTGCTTTATCTCACTAATTTGGAATAAATGCGAAGAGCGTTTCTTTGAATTGATATTCCACCCGGCACGTATTCTGTGACCTTTCTTCAAGATAAAAACGATTAATAAATCCGAAATGAATGAATCCCCGATACGGAATATATACAACTCCGAATAATAAATTTCGATCTATTTACTATAGTGGGTTACTATGCGGTACTATACTGCAGAACTCTCTGTACATACAAATACATATTCGATCGTATAAAACGAACGGTACAGAATCATAGGATATGCTGTGTTAGCCTGTTGTAGGAAGGTGTTCCACATGTAAAACTGATTTCACCAATTCCCAATATATCACGAGCAAATTAAATTCCGTACCGTTTTCACTGAATTCGTCACACGTACCCAGGTCTGCATGGCTATGGAGGTCAGGGCTTTTCCTACTATGACAGAGCTGAGTATATAGCAGTGTGTAAGATGACTACGTGTTGCCTTCTTTCAGGCGACCACTGGGGGTTGAATCTGCAGCAAATTACTGCCATGTTCTAT